CATTATGCTGAACACTTATAGTTGACTATCTCATCTGACCCTCATGTTACCTGATTTCATTATGTTTGAGGTCACCTATTCTATTGGGGAAAGAATGTGATGAGGAAGGACTATTTAAAGTTAACTTTTGTATTTGATCTTAGATAGAATGATTGCCCGGTTGGTTATAGGTGGTATAGAGGTGGGGAGGTGTAAGATGGAGACTGGGTGTAAATTAAACACTGGGTCAATAATTAAAGCTGGAGGAGAGACATAATTAGGTCAGCGGTCAAATTTCTATTTCATTTAAAAATATTCTTAAAGTACTTTGAAGTCTGTTATACATTTTTTTTTTTTTGGATTTAGAATGCTTTCCTGGATTTACTTATACAGAGGCAGTATTTTATGTAATTCACCATGCCAAGAGAAAATAGTAGGTCTTAATAAATGTCTACAGAGCTATATATTTGCAAGTCATAATTTTAAGAAACTTGCCAAAGTCAACTTGAGGATTTTTTAAAAATCTCAACAAACTCAGGAGGTTACCAGAAATAAATAACTTACCTACAAAATTTTATTATAGCGTTACTGAGTATAGTGATATAGTAAATTTATGTAAAAATTTGACTATCTTCAAGAGGACCGCATTGGTAGCTATCATATCAAAGTGTGATTGGCCTATGCAACCAGATTGCATTAGGTGAGCCTCTCCTGAATCCAAGGATGGTTTGTTTATTTATGATTTTATTTTATTTTATATTTTATTTTTTGAGACAGAGTCTCACTATGTTTCCCAAGCTGGCCTTGAATGCCTGGCCTCAAGTGATCGTCCCATTTCAACCTCCCAAAGTGCAGGGATTACATGCACGAGCATTCATTGATGACTGATTGGTTGATTGAGACAGGATCTCACTCTGTTGCCCAGGCTGGGGTATAGTGGTGTGATCACAGCTAACCGCAGCCTCAACTTCCTGGGATCAAGCGATTCTCCTACCTCAGCCTCCTGAGTAGCTGGGACTATAGGCATGCACCACCATGCCTGGCTAATATTTTAATTTCATTTTATTTTTAGAGACAGAATGTGTTGCCCAGGCTAATCTTGAACTCCTAGCCTCATGCTATCCTCCCACCTTGGCCTCCCAATGTGCTGGCATTACAGGTGTGAGCCACCACAGCAGTCCAGATTATTTATTAAGAACATGTAGAAATACCACTGAATTAACTATATTTGTCTTTGAGGCCAACATATTTCATTTGGCCAAAGTGAGTATCACCATTTAAAAATTGTGGAAAGCCGTATGAATTATTAGATTAAATGCTGGCACTGGCACTCTCTTAGTAGGGACCCATGTTGTAAGACTTGATATTTATGTGACCAGAAGAACTGTTCATTAACATATGTGGATAATAAATATAGTTACAACCCTAGATTGCATTTGTTGATATTGAATTTTACAATCCAAAAAAAAGTTGCCAGGATTGAATTTTTTGTTTAACTTCTGTTTTTACCATTTTTTCCTAAAACATTGGGCAAGAAAAGTACCTGGTATATAGTTAACCTAACTCAATACATGGTAGTTGAATAAATAGATGGATGATCAAACAACAAAAAAATAGTGGAGTCTCGCTCTGTCACCCAGGCTGGAGTGCAATGAAGTGATCTTGGCTCACTGCAACCTCCGACTCCCAGGCTCAAGCGATCCTTCCATCTCAGCCTCTTGAGTAGCTGGGACTAAAGGCATGCTCCATGCCTAGCTAATTTTTGTATTTTTAGCAGAGGTTGGGTTTCAACATCTTGGCCAGGCTAGTCTCGAACTCCTGACCTCAAGTGATTTGCCCGCCTCGGCCTCCAAAAGTGCTGGAATTACAGGCATGAGCCACCGCACCTGGCCTCATTGTGGGGTTTTAATGTATATTTCCATATTGACTAATGAGGTTGACCCTGTTTTCATGTGCTGATTAGATATTTGTGTGTCTTCTGTTTTTGTGTTGTCTATTCAAGTTTTTTGCTTTTGGGGGAAAGTTGCATGAGACGTCTGCATGATGGTGACCAGTTTGCAGAGTTCCTGATGACTCTGCAGATGAACAGAAATGACCCAGGAACATGGCTTTTGGGGCCTGATGTACCACCTGCACTATAGCTCCAAGAATCATGAACTCAAAGTGTAAAATTGAGGCAATAAATAAATCTCAATGGATTTCTAAGATATAAATCGTATAGAATTGGGTGTACCTTCAGACTGATAGTCATACATGAGCAGTTTTGTGGGACATGGTTTTGATTTTTATGATGATCTAGAGAAGGAATAGTTTCTCATAGAAGCAGTAAGAGCAGTGGTTTGGAACTTGGATTCTAGAATCAGATACTGTGTTATATTTCTACCTCTGCCATTTACTGTGTCTTTTTGGGGTGACTTCCTAAACCTTTGGACTTCAGTTTCCTCATCAAAAATAGGAAAAAAAAAATAAGAAATAAAATAGGCTGGGCGCAGTGGCTCACGCCTGTAATCCCAGAGCTTTGGGAGGTTGAGGCGGGCGGATCACCTGAGGTCAGGAGTTCAAAACCAGCCTGGTCAACATGGAGAAACCCCGTCTCTACTAAAAATACAAAATTAGCTGGGTCTGGTGGTACATGCCTGTAATCCCAGCAACTTGGGAGCCTGAGGCAGGAGAATCGCTTGAACCTGAGAGGTGGAGGTTGTGGGGAGCCGAGATTGTGCCATTGCACTCCAGCCTGGATAACAAGAGTGAAACTGTCTAAAAAAAAAAAGAAAGGAAATAAAATAATGGTACCTATATCCCAAGCTGTTGTGATAATTAAAGGAATTAGAACATATAAGACACTTACTTAAGGTCATGCTGGGTTTATAGGACATGCTGTATGAGGGCTAGCTCTTGTTATTACTAATTTCAAGTTGACACACTGGCATGATTATATCACTGTAAAGTGTGGATTTGGGCTGGGCACAGTGGTGTGTGTCTGTAGTCCTAGTTACTCGGGAGGTTGAGGCAGGAGGATTGCTTGAGCCCAAGGGTTTGAGGCTACAGTGAGCTATGATCGTGCCACTGCACTCCAGCCTGGGCAACAGAGTGAATCTCTATCTCTAAATAAATTAGTAAATAAATAAAGTATAGATTTCCTTAGGGACTAAGCAGGCTTTATTATTGGATAACCATTTATTTATGTATTAAACATCAAACATAAATGGCAACAGACAGTATGATTCCACTTACATACTGTTCTCAAAGTGATAACATTATAGAGATGGAGAGCAAAGGTGGTTACCAGGCGTCAGGAACTCAGTGAAGGAGGCCATAGAGGGGAAACACAGGGAGAGAGCGCCTTTGTCATGTTGTCCTGGTGGTTACAAAAATCTCTACATGTGATAAAACCTCACTGAACTCTATGTGCTCATGCACACAGATGCACACTCACACACACAAATGAGTGCATGTAAAAGCTGATGACATCTGAATAAGAGCTGTAGACTGTACCGATGTCAACATTCTGGTTTGATATTGTACTATAGTTATTTATGTAAGGGGTTACCATTGGGGAAATCTGGGTGAAGGGTACCCAGGAACTCTCTGTACTCTGTTGAATTTTTTAAACAGCTTTATTAAGATATAGTTCATATACCAAGCAATTCATTGAAGTGTACCATTGAGTGGTTCTTAGCATATTTACAGAGTTTTGCAATCATCACAACAGGCAATTTTAGAACATTTTCATCACCTCAAAAAGAAATTGCATGCTGTAGCTAATACCCCTCCCAACCCAACCCCAAGGCCCCCCTCCAGCCCCTGGCAACCACCAGTATACTTCTGTCTCTAGAAATGTCTCTGTTTTGGACATTCCATATGAATGGAATCATACAGTGTGTGGTCTCTGTATTTTCTTTGCAACTCTCTGTAAGTCTATAATTATTTCAAAATAAGAAGTTATTTTGTTTTTTCTAAGACAGAGTCTTGCCCTGTTGCCCAGGCTGGAGTGCAGTGGTACAATCTCGGCTCACTGCAATGTCTGCCTCCTGGGTTCAAGTGATTCTTATGCCTCAGCCTCCCGAGTAGCTGGAATTACAGGTGCATGCCGCCACACCCGGCTAATTTTTGTATTTTTAGTAGAAACGGGGATTCACCATGTTGGCCAGGCTGGTGTCAAACTCCTGACCTCAAGTGATCCACCCATCTTGGCTTCCCAAAGTGCTGGGATTACAAGTGTGAGCCACTGCACCCGGCCTCAAAATAAAAAGTTTTTAAAAATGAATTGAGGGGGCAGGTGTGGTGGCTCACGCCTGTAATCCTAGCACTTTGGAAGGCTGAGGCAAGTGGATCACTTGAGGTTAGGAGTTCGAGACCAGCCTGGCCAACATGGTGCAACCCCATCTCTACGAAAAATACAAAAATTAGCCAGATGTGGTGGTAGGCACCTGTAATCCCAGATACTTGGGAGGCTGAGGCAGGAGAATCGCCTGAATCCAGGAGGCGGAGGTTGCAGTGAGCCGAGATCATGTCATTGCACTCCAGCCTGGGTGACAGAGCAAGATACCATCTCAAAAAAAAAAAAAAAAAAGAAAGAATCGAGTGTTGCTACGGGACAAGGTCTCTGCTGGGCACTGGGGACACATGAGTAAGTGAAGCCGTGATCACTGCCCCAAAGAGCTTAGAGTTTAGAGGGAAAGACAGAGAAGGGGGCAGACAGTGAGGGTGCAGTGTTATCAGTGCTTTGGTGGAGGCGGCACAGGGGCCAGGAGAACACTAGGAAGAATAGAACTCAGATTGAAAGCAAGGTCAGACAAAGTTCCCCAGAAGAATTGGTTAGCAAATTTTTAAAGTGCATGCCATGTGGAAAGAACTTGGGACCATGGATGGATGGACAGCAGCTCATGTGGCATCTGTGGAAGAGAAGTCTTTCTTGAGACTTTTGTCCCTGTTGCCTGTGGTCCTTTGGCTGTCGTGCTCAGTGTCCAGGATGCCAGATAGTCCTCATTGGCTGTCTTTTTTTTTTTTTTTCTCCCCAGTGTCCAACAAGCACCCATTTGTGGACAGCAATCTTCTCTACCAGTTTAGAATGAACTTCCGGCGGAGGCGAAGACTGATGGAGCTGCTCAATGAAAAGTCCCCTTCCTCCCAGGAAACTCATGACAGTCCCTTCTGCCTGAGGAAGCAGAGCCATGACAATCGGAAATCTACCAGCTTTATGTCAGGTATGCCATCCCAGCGTTTATTGGAGCTCAAGTGTTTGTCTTTTGAGAAATAGTGGAGCCTTGACTCACCTTTGTGAAACTCTGTTCTGTATGGGAGAGTAGACTTTTTACTTATTCATGGCCGGACGTGGTGGCTCACGCCTGTAATCCCAGCACTTTGGGAGGCCGAGGCGAGGGGATCACAAGGTCAGGAGATTGAGATCATCCTGGCTAACACGGTGAAACCCTGTCTCTACTAAAAATACAAAAAATTAGCCGGGTGTGGTGGCGGGCACCTGTGGTCCCAGCTACTTGGGAGGCTGAGGCAGGAGAATGGCCTGAACCTGGGAGGCGGAGCTTGCAGTGAGCCGAGATCGCGCTACTGCACTCCAGCCTGGGCGAAAGAGTGAGACTATATCTCAAAAAAAAGAATTTTTACTTATTCATAACCAAGAAGTATGAAAAAAATTCCGAAACCCTAAGTTTTTCTTGGACGGCCAACTTAGATGCCAGGACTCTGTTTTATAAAAGTGTGTATTTGAATTATAGAAGGCCTCTCATGCTCTCACTCATACCTTATTTATTTTTCATTGCAAGCCATTCGTGCCTGGCATGATGGCGCACACTTATAATCTCAGCTACTTGGGAGGCTGAGGTGGGAGAATCACTTGAGGTCAGGAGTTTGAGACTAAGCTGGGCAATATAGCAAGACCTCGTCTGTCCAAAAAATTTAAAAATAAATAAATAAATACAAGTTTTTGTTTGTTTGGTTTTTTAGATGGAGTCTCACTCTGTTGCCCAGGCTAGAGTGCAGTGGTGCGCTCTTGGCTCACCACAACTTCTGCCTCCCAGGTTCAAGCAATTCTCCTGCCTCAGCCTCCCAAGTAGCTGGGACTACAGGCGGGCATCACCATGCCTGCCTAATTTTTGTATTTTTAGTAGAGATGGGGTTTCACTATGTTGACCGGGCTAGTCTCAAGCTCCTGACCTCATGATCCTCCTGCCTTGGCCTCCCAAAATGCTGGGATTACAGGCATGAGCTACCATGCCCAGCCTTACAAGTGGTTTTTACATATCCTTTAATTATTCAGTTTTGTAAATCACAACTTCAAAAAACTATCTATTTCAAAGATGAATAAGAAGATTATTTCTGTGGGCATTTACACTGGTAACCACAAAAAAGTGACTGGTTATCCACCCATTATCAGTGGGTGACAGAGAACAAAGAAGAACAATGCAAAGCTGATACAAGTCTCATAGAGCATAGCAGCCGGGGGTGTTACACAGTTAAAGTCCGACAGTCTCAGATGTGCAGTTAGCTGTGATGGAAATGATGGTGATTGGATGTAAAGGTGACCTGGCTGTGACAGCTGTCCCTCCATTGATTATGAGTGCTGATTTGGTTGATCTGTCTGTCCAGGAGAGTGTAAGAGGAAAACAAAAATGATGTGATTGGTGTTCACAAATGAGTGCATCCAGAAAATGTGAACTTGAAGTAAGTGTCCGTCTGTTTAAGAGGGTGAGGTGCTTAAAGGGGTATCTTGAACTGCCCTGAAAACTTGGTGTTACCTTGAGAAATTGGTTGGTTTAAGGTTTGAAACTACTGGGCTTAACCCAGCACAATATGAAAGTGTCATGACTTGGTTATGAACAGGAGATGACAGTGAGAGCACTTACAACTATATGTATTTTTTTTATTTATTTATTTATTTATTTATTTATTTATTTATTTTGTTTTATATTTTTTTGCGATGGAGTTTCGCTCTTGTTGCCCAGGCTGGAGTGCAATGGCGTGATCCTGGCTCACTGCAACCTCCGCCTCTCGGGTTCAAGCGATTCTCCTGCCTCAGCCTCCTGGGTAGCTGGGATTAGAGGCATATGCCACCACACCTGGCTAATTTTGTATTTTTAGTAGAGTCAAGGTTTCTCCATGTTGGTCAGACTGGTCTCGAACTCCCAACCTCCGGTGATCCGCCTGCCTCAGTCCCCCAAAGCTCTGGGATTATAGTTGTGAACCACTGCACCCGGCCACAACTATATGTATTGAGGCCAGGTGTGGTGGCTTATGCCTGTAATCCCAGTACTTTGGGAGGCCAAAGCGGGAGGATCACCTGAGGTCAGGAGTTCGAGACCAGCCTGGGCAACAAAGTGAAACCCTGTCTCTATTAAAAATACAAAAATTAGCTGGGTGTGGTGGTGGGTGCCTGTAGTCTTAGCTACCCAGGAGGCTGAGGAAGGAGTATCACTTGAACCCGGGAAGTGGAGGTTACAGTGAACAGCGATCTCGCCACTGCACTCCAGCCTCAGTGACAGAGCGAGACTCTGTCTCAAAACAAAACAACTGAATGTATTGAGACATTTCTGTGCCCCAGGCCCTGAGCCAAGCTTGGTTGTATGAATTTTCTCATTTAATTCTTACTGTAACCCTAAGAGAAAGGACTTTTCTTATCCCTATTTTACAGTTGAAGAGATTAAGATACAGAGCAATTAAGTGGCTTACGCAAAGTTAGGAAGTGGTGGGCAGAGCTCAGTCCACCAGCTGTAGCTAACACCAGCTTAGCTCCCAGCAGTTTTGTTTACTCCAGTGCTTTTAATATGCCACCACCTCCCCGATCCCCCACACCCAGGTTCCTCAGACGCAGCCATCTGGAGGAGAGAAAGAAGCATGAGCTTCTGTGGAAAAAGAAAGACTGGCTGAGGGTCAGGAGGCTAATCCTGTGCTCCCAGGCCAATCTGGTCAGGTCGAGAGGACACACTTGATATATGTCTCCTTAACATTGTAAACTTCTGCAGAGTGATTTTACTTTCTCACAAACAAGGGTTTGCCTGTTTCTTGAGTGGGCCCGATAGACCTGAACAAGTGATAATGATGAGTAGAAGGATATAGTAACCATGGTAACCTGTATTAGTCCATTCTTGAATTGCTATAAAGGAATAACTGAGATTGAGTAATTTATTAGGTTGGTGCAAAGGTCATTGCGGTTTTTGTTGTGAAAAGTAATAGCAAAATTGCAAAAAGTAATGGGGCACAGAAATGTCCTATAGTTGTAAGTGGTCTCATTGTCACCTCCTATTCTGTCCACCAGCTTTAGCTAACATCAGTTTAACTCATACCAAGCTTCATGCACCCAAGCTTGGCTCGGTGCCTGGGGCACAGAAATTACTATTAATGGCAAAAACCTCGATGACTTTTGCACCAACCTAATATCAAGAAAAGAAGTTTAATTGGCTCACCGTTCTGCAGGGAAAACAGGAAGGATGGTGGTATCTGCTTTTGGGGAGACCTCAGGAAGCTTCCAATCATGGTTGAAGGTGAAGTGGGAGTAGGGGTCTCACATGGCGCAAGTGGGAGTGGCAGGGGTTGGGGGTGGAGGTGCCACATACTTTCAAACAACCATATCTCACAAGAACTCACTTACTATGGTGAGGACAGTGTAATGGGGATGGAACCATTCATGAGAATCCACCCCCATGATCCAGTCACCTCCCACCAGGCCCCACTTCCAACATTGGGGATTACCTTTCAACATGAGATTTGGGTGGGGACATATATTCGAACCACATCATGACCATGACCACCAGCATTTATTTTGGGCTTCCCACGTGCCAGGGTCTCCATGATTTCTTTCATTCAGTCATATACCCTCCCCATGTTGAGAGCCAGCTTACTCCATGACAGAGAACCAAATCAGAAAAGTAAAGACACTGCCTTACATACACGCTCAAAGCCTGAATGTGTGCTCTGTATTTTAAGCTCCTTCTTCCATGGCTCTGGATGATTAATCCTTCTTTGTTTTTGTTTTTATTTTTTCTGAGACAGAGTCTCACTCTGTCGCCCAGGCTGGAGTGCAGTGGTGCCATCTTGGTTCACTGCAGTCTCTGCCTCCCAGGTTCAAGCAATTCTCCTGCCTCAGCTTCCCAAGTAGCTGGGATTACAAGTGCGTGCCACCATGCCTGGCTAATTTTTGTGGTTTTAGTAGAGATGGGGTTTCACCATGTTGGCCAGGCTGGTCTTGAACTCCTGACCTCGTAATCTGCTCACCTCGGCCCCCCAAAGTGCTGGGATTACAGGCATGAGCCACCGGGCCCGGCCTGATTAATGGTTTTATTTGAAATCAGAAGGCATTTATTTTCACTGTTGATTCATCCCGTGTAACTAGCAAGTCATTTATATCCTAGCAAGGACTGCTCAGCATGGATGTGGTAGTTCTTGAAATAATATCATCTTTTCATGCTCATGATATAACCCACCCCTTGCACAATCCTATAAGACAGCATTGTTCTCACTTTACAGTCAGGGAAATTTAGGCTCAGAGAGCTTCCCTGAGGTGACCCCAAGTTGTGCTACAAGTGGCAGAGCTGGCCAGGCATGGTGGCTCACGTCTGTAATCCTAGTGCTTTGGGAGGCTGAGATGGGTGGATCACTTCAGGCCAGGAGTTCAAGACCAGCCTGGCCAACATGGTGAAACCCAATCTCTACTAAAAGTACAAAAATTAGCCGGGTATGGTGATGGGCACCTATGGTCCCAGCTACTGGGGAGGCTGAGGCAAGAGAATTGCATGAACCCAGGAGGCAGAGGTTGCAGTGAGCCCAGGTTGTGTCACTGTACTCCAGCCTGTGCAACAGGGTGAGACTCCATCTCAAAAAAATAAAATAATATAATATAAAGTAAGAGTAGAGCTGCAACTCAAGCTCTTGTTTTTCTGCCACTAAGACCAGTGTGCTTTTTCCTGGCCTCCCTGGACCTTGCAGCTGAAAGCCTATGTGCTCTAGTGAGCCGAGACCATCCCCTCGTTGACTGTGTGTGTTCTCTGGCCTACACAGTGAGCCCCAGCAAGGAGATCAAGATCGTGTCTGCAGTGAGGAGGAGCAGCATGAGCAGCTGTGGCAGCAGCGGCTACTTCAGCAGCAGCCCCACCCTCAGCAGCAGCCCCCCTGTGCTCTGCAACCCCAAGTCCGGTGAGTGCCCAAAAGGTGGCCCCACTCCTAAGACTGTGGGGACTTGGGAAGGTCCCTGGGAAGCAGAATCTGAGATAGCAGGAGACTAGTGTGTGGGTTCTAATAAGTTAGAGCATGCTCTTGGGGTCCACACATGTTGAATGAAGGGAAGGAAGAATTGGGCTGAAGGAGAAATTGGGTTGTAGCCCAGTCTCAGTGAAGGCTGTCATTGACCCAATAAGACCTCGGGAGCTGGGATGGCCCTTCCAAGTTGCCTGGAGTTGTGTTGAGGGGCTGGGCCTTTAGATCCATGTGTTGGCCACTTATTAGATATTGGCTGCCCCTGGGAGGAGGGCATGACCTTGGGCGAAGCAGCTGTCTTCAGAGAGATGGTCCCCAAGACAGCTGAGGGCTGTCGCCATGCCATTAGCACTCCCTGAGCTGGGAGGAGTTCCTGAGCCCTGAAGGGGGTTTGGGTCAGTGTGTGTAACAGTGTTCACAGCAAGGGAAACAGCACTTCCCCCGAATGCAGCCGATGCAAAGATCTGTTGGGGCCCAACACTCTTAAAGAAGAAGCATGGATGTGTGCAAACCTAACTATCCCTGGAATTGACCCTGGATGCCTTGTGGCTTCAAAATCTGCTCCTCAACCTCCATGGCCTTTATATTCCAGGAAAAAAATCTAGGCACAAAGATTGTTGGTGAACATGTACTTAGAAACAATCCTTCTTCCACCCAATCAGTTAACCCCCCAGGAACTGGCAATCCATTGAAGCCACCCTTTCTCACCATCCCTTACCCATCTCCTGTCCTCACTGTTCTCCTTGCCAGGATGAGGACATGTGGTCCATCACTACAGCAACTGCCAGAAAACACTCTCAGACCCATTTGTTTAAGGCCCTGTCCAGTTTGTCACCTTCAAGGAAGAGGCTCTGTTCCTTTTGTTCATGTTGTTTCCTCATCATCAGATCCTGGGGATACAAAGATGACAGACAGGTCATAACCCCCAACTCAGTGAATACACCACCTCTTTGGAGAACAAAACAAAATATTTCACGTTAGTAAGAATAAGGACTAATTGATGTGGTTCAAAAGGCTTTGAGAGAAAACCCTGTCATCTAATGCTATTATCTCGGAAGGTGGCTCTTTTTCCTGATCTAACATTTTTTCTTTTTTTGCTGCCTTCTGGAGAGTTAGCGGCAGGAATAAATGTAACCTGTAAGTGAATGAAGAAACTTGCTTCCACACTGTACTGGCTGAAGAGTCGTTGAGTGCTAGGTTTTTCAATTCCTGGAGTTTGCTGATAAAGCAGAATGAAAAAGGAGAACTGAATTCTTAGAAATGGGATGTTTGAAGCCTTCATAGAAATCTGACAGGCATCCTCAAAGTTAAAAGCAAAAGATCTCAGTTTCAATAGAAGGGTCAGTGGTGCCATAACCATTTTACATGTTTTTGATTGCTTATGATGGAATACGAAAAAAGTGTGAATTACTGAAATTAGCAACAAAATCCATGTTCTCTGAGGTAGGTTAGTATTGTTTCCTCTTTCTCCTTGCCTCTGGGTCAAAGGCAAGAGTTTACTGTTATGCAGGCAGAAGAGAAAGGTCTTGTTTCCTTTCGTGGGTCTCCAAGGACAAGAGCTGTCAAGACTGAGCTGTGGTTTGTAAATCCCACGTCTTACCCATAGTTTGACAAGCTTCTCTCTCACTCTTGAGAGGGTTCCCAAGACCTAGTGAGCTCATCTGTGATATTTTTTTTTTCTCAAGCAGATGATCAGACCTTCACAGTGATGCATTTAAAAATTAATTATCCTAAAGATACCAGGATATGTTTTTTAGTACTGTATACAAATGCCCTAAGCCAGACATAAAAAAACAGTACTAAAGACATTGATGTTATCGGTATCATCATAATAAGCAAATAAGCTTCCAAGGATATGAAAAGAAAAAAGCTTTTCCTGGGCCTCAAAGTTTCTACAGTTTTCAACATAATAAAGAGGAGAAGTGCATTAAAATGAATGGTCAGCACTGCTGCCAAACAGTACAGTGTGATTCATGTATCCAAATTCATAAGCCCCTGAGGGTTTATGGGGAGTGGAGAAAGAGTTATCTGACAGGGAATAAAAAAGATCTCAGTCCTCAAATATTGACCACTTTTCTTCTCTCCCATCCATCTGCTGAGAGATACTATTTCCATCTTGATGTTTGACCTACTCCCTCTTGTTTAGCGACCATAAATTAATTTTCACTTTCATGAGATTTCTGAAAGCAAAGGTGATAAGATCAGCAAACTGTCACCTCAACGAGAAGCACTGGATTGCCTTTCACTGAGAGGGTGCTTGTCAGACCAGAAGGCCGCGCATGTAACCAGCGGGCAAGGCCCAGCTGCCTGGTGAATCATCAGGCCTCTCCCCACCCTCCCTTTCCTTGTCTGCTGCACACTCATTCCAGGACTGGTACCTGACCTCTGACTGTCACTAGCAAAGGGGATCGGAGGATGCCACTTCACCAGGTTAGGCCCCGTGGCTGGGCCTTTTCTGTTTGTCTGTGGCACTTCAAGTTCACGATGTCTACAGAGCTGGTTTAGAATGGTCCCTGTCCCCTGACCCCCTGGCTATTTGGGGAGGATATGACAGCCCCTCTCCAGTTCTTAGTGAGCACAGGATGGATGGGGAGGTTCATTATCGGTGGGTTTTAGGCAGCCACAAGTCAGGAACTGGCTGCTGTCTGCTATCTTGGTGGGCAACAGCAGCGAGCTGATGTGAGGAGGATGGCATGCCACTATCTTCCTGAGCTTCTAGACCCTTTCTTTTGCTTGCAGGACAGCATGGCCCAGAGTGAGTGTGGCACAGTAGCTGAGAGTGTGGGCGCTGGTGTCTAACGCCTGAGTTTGATTCTACTTCTGCCACCCATTAGCTCTGGAACCTTGGACACAATCAATTTAACTTTTCTAAGGTTGTTTTTGCAGTTATAAAATGGGGATAACAACGATCCTAACTCGTTCACTCTTGTGATGATTAAGTGAGTTAATATATTCACATCACCTCGCATGGTGCCTCTCTAGCACATGTTAAATACTCAGAAAAGCTCACTAGCATTATTACTCAGGGCAGAAAGCAGTGTGTACATGCAGTCCTAGGTGTTAAGAAGGAAATTAGGCCGGGTGGCTCATGCTTGTAATCCCAGCACTTTGGGAGGCTGAGGCGGGCGGATTGCCTGAGGTCACGAGTTCAAGACCAGCCTGGCCAACATGGTGAAACCCTGTCTCTACTAAAAATACAAACATCAGCCAGATGTGGTGTTGGGTGCCTGTAATCCCAGCTACTCAGGAAACTGAGGTGGGAGAATTGCTTGAATCCAGGAGGCGGAGGTTGCAGTGAGCCGAGATTGCATCATTGCACTCCAGCCTGGGCGACAAGGGCAAAGCTCCGTCTCAAAAAAAAAAAAAAAAGAAAGAAAAAAGAAATTGACCTGTCCTCTTATCCCCACCCCCGGCATTCTTGCTTTCTTTCTCTTTCTTTTTTTCCTTAGCTTTGTAAGGTAGGTTTAGGGTTATGTATGTTTGCTGCTATTTTCTGTCTCCACTCAGCTAAAATATAAACTGTGAGACAGGGATCTATGCTACTTTTTCTCACTGATGGTCACCTATGAGATATCAATAAATAGCTGCTGAATACATGGATGGAGGATTTGGAAGTGCTTATGTCTTGACATTGTGTTTGTCTGACAGTGCTGAAGAGACCTGTCACCTCTGAGGAACTCCTTACTCCCGGGGCTCCGTATGCAAGGAAGACATTCACGGTAGGCTGATGGTCTGGCCTGTTTCTCCTGTGCTGCCCATTTTTCTGCGCCGTGTCCATGTGTCAATGGGTAGCTTATAGACTGACCTGAAAACTGTTTTTCTAGTTTTCTTTTTGTTTTTAGCATAATTATGATAATAGGCTTTCTTGACCTTAAGGCACTAAGATGCATTAGGACTTCACATGCTTTATTACTCATATAGCATTTAACATTTTTTTTAATGTGTTCTTTGTTAAAGAAAAGATTTCCATTATGCGCTTATTCTAATTTAATTGCAAATTTTAAGATTGGCATCATTTGCACTTGCATTTGCCTTAAAATCTAATAATTTTAGATTTTATTTCCCACCATTAGTAATTTAAATTATTATTAATTTTATGGCAAATGGAAGTGCCAATGATGCCAATAATCCCTTCTGCATTATAATTAATTCTAGACGTTATTTAAAACATTAGGGGAGTGTTAAGGTAGAGAAAGGAAACTGTGGGATAAATTGTTCTACCGTAGGCAGGGTGCTTCGACAATGTGAGCATGCCTTGAGGTACACAAGCCTCTGACTTGCTGTGAGCAGCTCCGGACCGCCTGCCCCTTCTTGGAGGTCCTTTAGGTTCCTTCTGCCTGCATTGGATTTCTTCAAATGGAATGAAAGTGCTCCTCTCAGCATCACCACCCCCACTCCCCTTCCCGTGTCTCCTGTCAATCTTCTCAAATTCACGTTCATACCCTCTTCAAAACACTTCTACTTCTCCTTCATCTTCTAACTTAGTGGCATTACCTCAGGCTGGGGGAGAATTCTATCCACACTCAGTCACGCAACAAACATTTGCTAAGGGCCGCTTCACATTCTGAATGCTGAGGAGTTAATAGGAGAAAGGCACTGATAACACGTCTGTACCAGAGGAAAAGATAAACTGTACCTTCGGAAGTGAAATTGAGTATAATACACAAGTAACAGCAAACTGTAAAGTAATGGAAGTGCCTGAAAATCTTGAGCATTTCCACAAAAATTTTCGTTTACCTCCCTGTTTCTCCCTGTTTTTCCTCAGTCTCCAGCATTGAAGAGAGAGCAGATTGTATTTTGAAAGTGTTTGTTTTTGATTTTTAATTTAAATGCCAACATTGTTAGTAATTGATTGTGAATGTGTTTCAGCTGTGTTTTAGTTGGGCTATGTGTGAAAGACGTGGCTAGGAGCTGTCCAGGGAATGAAACTGTCAGCTCTAATAATGATTTCCATAGAAAAGGCCTTCTCTAATTCCAAACAACTTTTGGTTTACAGTCTACTCGTACATTGTACATTGTGAACTTTATGTACTTTTTCAATTTTTTCCCCCCTTGGTGGAGAATATTGTGTTTTTAGAAAGCCAAGTCTAACCTGGGCATGAGGGCTCACGCCTGTAATCCCAGCACTTTGGGAGGCTGGGCGAGCAGATCACCTGAGCTCGGAAGTTTGAGACCAGCCTGACCATCATGGTGAAACCCTGTCTCTACTAAAAATACAAAAAATTAGCCAGGCGTGGTGTTGCGTGCCTGTAATCCCAGTCACTCGGGAGGCTGAGGCAGGAGAATCACTTGAACCCGGGAGGTGGGAGTTGCAGTGAGCTGAGATTGCACCACTGTACTCCAGCTTGGGTGACAGAACAAGACTCTGTCTCAAGAATAAAAAAAAAAAAAGAAAAGAAAGCCAGGTCTCTTCATTTCCCACCATTAGTAATTTAAATAATTATGCTAGACTTTAATGACATTGCAGGATCAAGAGTGTATCATTTGGATACTGGGGAAAAGAACAAACTTAGAGTAGAAATTGTATCCGGAGAGACATTTCAACCATGTTATGACTTTTTCTAAACCTTCTATTGGAGTCTGACATTACATTGTATAACCGCCTAAGAAAGAGAAAATCTTCCAGTTGTTTATTGAATCATGCCCTCACGGGAGCATCTTCTTTCTGCCAAACAGGTTAGATTTTTTTTTACCACCTTTTCTACAGGGAGATGCCTGGGTTTGTATAGAAGCAGTGTTCCAATCCCCTGGCAGGGAAGAGAGAAACAGAGGAAAATATGTCACAGTGCATACTTAATCCTGGCCTGGTCTTCTCTCCCTCAGAAGAATAAGCAAATTGCTGGAGACAGTCGGCTGCTTGCTAATTGTGGTTTTCCTCTCCAGATTGTTGGTGACGCGGTTGGCTGGGGTTTTGTGGTGCGAGGAAGTAAGCCATGCCACATCCAGGCTGTAGACCCCAGTGGCCCTGCAGCCGCAGCCGGAATGAAGGTACTAATGGGTCTTTCTCACTCTCTTTTATAACTGTCTTGGGTTCTTCATGCCAAATTGGCCATGATTCTTACTAGGGATCCAAACCCATCTTATTTTGTGTCCTTTTCTATTTCTGCCCTTTCTTGTTCTCCAAAATCTTTAACCTTTCCCTGGGTCTTCCCTCTCCTCTAATAAACATTTAGAAGTATCTAGCCGGGCGTGGTGGCTCACACCTGTAATCCTAGCACACTCGGAGGCCAAGGCGGGCAAATCACTTGAGGTCAGGAGTTCAAGACCAGCCTGGCCACCATAGCGAAACCCTGTCCTTACTAAAAATACAAAAATTAGCCAGGTGTGGTGGTGCACACCTGTAATCTCAGCTACTCAGGAGGCTGAAGCAGAATTGCTTGAACCCAGGAGGCAGAGGTTGCAGTGAGCCAAGATCGTACCACTGCATTCCAGCCTGGGTGACAAAGCGAGACTCTGTCTCTAAAACAAAACAAAACAACAACAAAACAACATTTAGCGGTGTCTAAATACCTCTAGCTTAATTTCATTATTTGATGCCATGTGTGCTTTTTCTCCCTAAGTGTTTTGGCTTCACTTTTGTCAAATTTCCTTTTCCCTTTCTGAATGGGGTTCAAATGAAGGCAAGGCCGGGCACGGTGGCTCACGCCTGTAATCCCAGCACTTTGGGAGGCCGAGGTGGGCGGATCACAAGGTCAGGAGATCGAGACCACGGTGAAACCCCGTCTCTACTAAAAATACAAAAAATTAGCCAGTCGCGGTAGTGGGCGCCTGTAGTCCCAGCTACTCAGGAGGCTGAGGCAGGATAATGGCGTGAACCCGGGAGGCGAAGCTGGCAGTGAGCCGAGATCGTGCCACTGCACTCCAGCCTGGGGGACACAGCAAGACTCCGTCTCAAAAAAAAAAAAAAAAAAAATGAAGGCAAGCACGTATGATACAGGAACCAGGAGAGCAAGTTTTCCTACCTCCCTGGTGTTTGGAGGTTTGGTCTCCAAACCTCCCCTGGTGTTTTACATGTTCCCCCTCAACCAATACTGAGTTTGAAAAATTATGTATTTCCCTTTGCTTAAATCTTTGTGTAAGAACTCCAATGCTTCTATTCTGTGCAAGGTATATTCCTGTGGGGTTTATGTATCCAGTAGCACATACTAGACCATACGACATAGCCAATATTGAGAAAAAGAAAATAAAAGCCATGAAATTTGGAAGAGATCTGGAGATCTAGATCTTGGTCCTGTTAGTTACTAGCTTGTTGACTTTGAATAAGTTTTATAACATCTCAGAGTCTGTTTTCTCCTCTCTGAAATGACAGTCATACTATTTCCCATTGTTTTATGGATTAAATGTGTGGAAACCTTGATAAAGTACAAAGAGCTACACAAACATCAATTCATTATTGAATGAATTATGGAAGATTTTTAAAAATAACTTTTACATATTTACTGAAATGATACATATATGTGCCAGGTATGGTGGCTCATGCCTGTAATCTCAGCATCTTGGGAGGCTGAGGCGGGTGGATAACTTTAGGTCAGGAGTTCAAGACTAGCCTGGCCAACATGGTGAAACCCAGTCTCCACTAAAGATACAAAAAATTAGCCAGGCGTAGTGGCTCACTCCTGTAGTCCCAGCTACTCAGGAGGCCGAGGCAGGAGAATTGCTTGAGCCTGGGAGGCAGAGGTTGCAGTGGGCTGAGATCAGACCCATGTACCCCAACCTGGGTGACAGAGCCTGAGACTCTGGCTCAAAAAATAGAAAAAAAAAGACACATATACAGTCAAGAAAATTTGGAAAATATATGCGAGCAGGAAAAAAAGTAAAATTACTTCTAATCTTCCCTAACTCAGAGATGACTAGTGTTAACATTTTTTAAGCAGCTTTGAAGTGTGTAATTGGCATCCTATAAAATGTAGCCATGAACATTTTGATTTATATTCTTCTAGACTTCTTGTGTGTATATATGTTATATACATTGTTTTTATTTAAGAGGATGTTGAGGTTTTTTGCTTTGATATACCTTTATATAGCACAGCTTTGTTCTATTGTCTGTGAAATGTTTCATAAGAGGATATTTCTGTCTTGATTATCTGAAACCATAAGAGGATGCAGAAGGCTTAAAAGCTAAAGATCATTCCCCTGTTCATTTATTTGATACTTTTATCCTCTTCCATCAGCCTTTTCTAGAGTAGCAATAAGCATGATTGGGATCTCCGCCTTTCGAATTTCCAGCATGAGCTCTCTGGCATTGGTTTGCATGCTGGAAAAAATAAGTGGGCAACAGAAAACGGCTCAAGGAAGCGAAGAGCACCTTTACTGCCTGCCCAGGTATCAGCACGGGTGTGATTAGGGGCTGCCTCCGCCTTTTGATTTGAACACCTCACTCATGTCAGGGAGGCACAGGCCCTGGGATCCTGTGCTCGGGGGCAGCCATGGAAGCCCTGCTGGCTAAGGCAGTGCATGGCAGAGCCCTTTTACCTTCCCAAGACTGCAGCGGGCACAGCACCAAAGCAACTCAGAGTAGGAATGTTGGCCAGGCTCATAAAAAAGCAAGCATTTGCATCCATGCCGAGGCTGAATTTTTCATTTTCTAATGGAACTCTTGGCTGGGGAAGGATTTTATATTTTATTTCCACAATAAAGTACCTACTATAAATTTATTTTGGCACAGTGCTTCTGTTCTGAGTGTGTACTCACTAGCATGATGCTTTGGCTTAAAGAACATTTCTTTTGAGGAAAGCAATGAATTTATTTACATTGCAACTAAAGACCTTGTTTTGTTTAGCCAAGTGTACAGTGAAATTAATTGATTTTAGTTTATCTTTGTTGATGTACATACATAACCATTCTGGGCAATGTCAACTGATTAACTCTTTAATGTATATACCCTGACTGATGTTTTACCTTATATATTTTTTCAATTTCATAAGTTAATGCTTCATATGGTTTATATGTTTAGTTTCTTCAGAGGTACACAGTGGTTTTCTTATGTTATAGAGCTTTACAGAGTTCATTAGAGCAGCCTTTCCATCATTGTATTATTACACAGCTCTCTGGTCCAGCAAAACATCTGTTCTGAGGTTCTCTGATCAAAGCAGTTTTGAACTGCCACATACTTTATCCCCCTCTTAGAAATTCACAAAACACATGAGTATATTGAAAATTCTGACAAACCTGGCAAGAGGAAAAAAATGATTATTTAAATTGTTTAACATAACATATTATCATTTAAGAGAAACACACAAAAGGAATCTTTATCAGCGTTGTTGTTAAGATATAGCCTTAAAACTCTTCTAAGAAGATGCTTTTGGCCAAACTGCTTTGGAATTAATATAAAGTCACCACTTAATGACAGGGTTATGTTCTGTGAAATGGGTTTTAAGGCGATTTTGTAATTGTGTGACCATCATGGAGTGTACTTACACAAACCTGGGTGGCACAGCCTACCACACACCTAGATATAGTCTATCACTCCTAAACTATAAACACTGTACGGCATGTTACTGTACTGAATACTGTAGGCAATTGTAACACAATGGTATTTGTGTGTCTAAACATAGAAAAAGGTCCATGACAACTATGATGTCACTGGGCAATGGGAATTTTTTTTAAAGCATTCTCTCTCATTTTTTTTTTTTTTTTTTTTTTGAGACAGAGTCTGGCTCTGTTGCCCAGGCTGGAGTGCAATGGCACAATCTCGGCTCACTGCAACCTCTGCCTCCCGGGTTCAAGCAATTCTCCTACCTCAGCCTCCCAAGTAGCTGGGACTACAGGTGTGCACCACCACGCCCAGCTAATTTTTGTATTTTTAGTAGAGACAGGGTTTCACCATTTTGGCCAGGATGGTTTCGATCCCTCAACCACCTTGGCCTCCCAAAGTGCTGGGATTACAGGCGTGAGCCACCATGCCCAGCCAAATTTTTCAGCTTTATTATAATCTTAAAAGATGATGGGGGGCCAGGCTCAGTGGCTCATGCCTGTAATCCCAGCACTCTGGGAGGCTGAGGTGGGAAGATCACCTGAGGTCAGGAGGTTGAGACCTACCTGGCCAACATGCTGAAACCCAGTCTCTACTAAAAATACAAAAATTAGTTGAGCATGCTGGTGGGTGCCTGTAGTCACAGCTACTCAAGAGACTGAGGCAGAAGTATCGCATGAACCCGGGAGGCGGAGGTTGTAGTGAGCCAAGATCACGCCGTTGCACTCCAGCCTGGGCGACAAGAGGGAAGTTCCGTTTCAGAAAAAGAAAATGATGGGACCACCATCATATATGCAGTTCGTAGTTGACTGAAACGTCATTATGCAGTGCATGACTATACAGAGAATACATTTTTAGTATTACTGTTTGTTGGTTAAATTAAAAGGACAGCAAATACTATGTCCTTCCGTATAGTTTAGCTGTTTATATTCATTAGAAATTATTTTGTACATTATTTTCTTACCTAAAACACTGACTCAGTTTTTTCCTATTTTACCATTTTCATAGAATAATTTCACTTACAAAGAAGCCATTTGTATAATCTAATCGTAAAGGCTTGTTCCCAGAAACCTGTCATTGCTGATACCTTCAACTCGGAAAACCACAGAGTTTGAGGTGTGTAGTCCTCAAGAGGGCCCTGGGGTGCCCTGTGGGAAGGATCCTCCCAGTTGGGCACTGATTAACCTGCGAGGTCTGGGTGGTGGAAATTGTCCAACATTCTGAGCACATGCCTCCTTTTGGCATCTCTGACTGTCCAGAACTAACCTAGGATAGTGTAAAGTGCCTCGGTGTCCCTTTCTACACTGAATGTCGGGCTCTTCCTTTAGTCAGAGTTCTCATTTTCTCTAGGTTTTGAATGGGGGCAGAGCCCTGTATCTGGGCCTGTGTGGCTGCTCCATCCAGGGAAATTTTTATACTTCTGCTATGACTACTTTTTTTTTTTTTGAGATGGAGTTTCACTCTTGTCGCCCAGCCTGGATTGCAGTGGTGCCATCTTGGCTCACTGCAACCTCCA